TGTCCCGTGTCCCCTCTCCCCGTGTCCCTCTCCCCGTGTCCCTCTCCCGTGTCCCGTGTCCCCTCTCCCGTGTCCCTCTCCCCGTGTCCCTCTCCCGTGTCCCCTCTCCCGTGTCCCTCTCCCCGTGTCCCTCTCCCGTGTCCCGGGGCGGTGCGGGGGCCGGTGCAGTTCCCGCAGCCGCCGCCGGGGGGCGCCTGCAGGCGGAGCGCCCGCGGGAGGGGCCGGGGCTCCGCCTGGCGCCGATCCCGGGAACTGCGGGATCCGAGCGGTGTTCCCAAATTCCCGCGGGGTGTCCCCGGGCCAAGCGCGGCCTCCAGCGGCACCCGCGGATGTGCTCGGTCATGGGGAACAGCCGCCGCAACGCTCAAGTTCCGCAGAACCCTCCCACTTGATGCTGACCCACCTCTGGTGCTGTGCCCACGTGTCCCTTAGTGGTGTCACGGATCCCTCTTGGATCACTGAGCTCTCTTGGATCACTGAGCTCTTCTGGGTCCTCTGCACTGTGAATGGGCTTGGGAATGGGTTTCTCTGCTCGGTGTGGTGAGGGCATGGGCACCTGGAAGACTGGAAAGTCTTCTTTCCCTTGTTCCAAGTGGCGAGCGTGCGCTGCCGGAGCGATGGTGGAAAGACAGGAGGCAGAGATGTTGGCTGGTTTATGAATGTTTTATGTGCTGTCAGACTATAAAGTGATGTCTTTACTAGGGAAATGAGATAAATGGAAGTAACTTGGGTGTAGTGTGAAACTTGGATTATATGGCTACCATGTGACACAGTGTATTTACAGACACAAGTAGGGTTTCTGTAGGATCATGCAGAAGCCTTGGTTCAGTGTCTAAATAATTACCACTCGCTGTATGCATTAAACTCCGAGTTTCTTGTCTTGTCAGTCAGTTGTTTCCAGAGAGTAACTCTGTCACTTGGCTCCAACGCATTATTTCTGTGCAGCAGTTCATTTTCCAAGACTGTCTTTCCCCTCGATGTTTTTTGCTTCTGCAGAGAGGTGGTTTCTCAGGAAAGCTTTCTTCTTGGCATGGCCCTGGAAGAAGAAGCTTTGTGTAAAAGCCTTCCCAGGAATAAAAGCTTGTTTGTGGTTTCCCTGTAGCAAACAAAGCTGGGTCTCCAGCTCTTCACCTGCTTCACGCCTCAAGCCTTTGCGTTAGGACAGGGTCTGATAACAACGAGATTGTGCAGAAGGTGATTTCTATAATTTATTTGGAATCTAATGAGCAATGTTTTTGTTCTGTCTTTTTCCAGGAATTGAATGTAGTGTCCTTGTAAGCCATGCTTTGAAATGAGACCTCAGGAGTGGTACAAGATTTCTGTATTTGCTTTCTCTGCGTCCTCGGTCAAGTAGCCCATCACTGCACTGAGGTTATAAAAACAAGCCATAAACCAACTAACCCTTGGATAAGTTTGACCTACAACAGAATCACATAAGCTTGTCATCAGCCAAGCTGAAATCTTTACCTCATAAAAACAAGGGCTTGCAGGTGTCCATGCACACCTCTAATGTCATTGCAGACACCTGGACAAACTCTGAAGTTTTGTACAGGTGCCACTGGTTTAAATCTGCCTGAGTGAGAAGAGAATTCACTGACAGTGTGCCTGGTGCTTTGAGGAGGGACTTAGAAATGTGGTCATTCACCCTGTGGACCTCAGGGAAATGCTATTCTTGTATGAACAACATCAGGCCAGTGTTCTTGGCTGCGAGGCAGGTGTGTGAGCAGAGTTTCAGTTTTAGTGCAGGGCGTGGATTTGCAGGAAGGAAGTACAAACTTTGTTTCTGGGGACGGGAAGGATTTCATATGTTTTATATTTAATGTGAAACAAGCCTGAGAAGTGTGGTTTATAAACTGGCATTCCTGTTAATCTCTCCTTTCTGGTAATATTACATCTGTTGTGGACTCGCCTGGCTTTATTGGAGGCAGTGTTAGGAAAGCTGGAGGATCCTGGTGCTGGCATGCCTTGCTGGGACCAGCAGGGTGAGGTGGGTACATCCCAGTGCTGGACTCTACCCTGGAGAGTCTGTCATCTGCTTCTTGCAACATCCTGTGCGTGCACAGGAGACAGGCTTCTGGGATTAACCTGGAACACAGATTGAACTGTTCCTGCTCACACCTCTTTTGGAATACATACCCAAGAGAAGAAATCAAGAGGCTTTTAAGCATTCAAAAACTCCCTCACTCTGCTCCTACTTTTCTGACCCTTGTAATGTAGCTCCCCTAACCCCTCTGCCAATCCCTGCTTCAGCTGTCAACTCCAAACAAAATCAGGAAAAAGATCTGGGATAAAAATATAGTGCAGGAACCTACAGTGGAAAAACTCTAATCAGTCTTGGAGAGAAGGAAAAAACTCTGAACAGAGGGAAGGGCAGGTCAAGCAAACACGGTTTTGGAAAAACAGTGCTGATTCTCCTGGGGCTGTCTTGCCAAATGCCTCTGAAAGCTGGCTTTTTTTTTTTATTTAGAAAGGTACATTTTAGCTTGTAATAGAACAGAAAAACTGCAAGTGATCCTCAGGTGCTCAGAATCTGGTTAGTATTAAAAAAAAGGTTTATACTGGCCTTCACTTGTGTTTAGACCAGTGTCATAATAATGGAGTGATTAATAATGAAAAGGTCTATTGCACTTCACTACTATATTTTCAGTGCATTGCATTTGTCTGCTGTAAAATACCTTGAGATATATGTAATAATGAAATACTGAGCTTTCTTAGGACTTTTTGCTCAGCCCAGTTTGAATGAAGTGGATTTCCCCTCCCTTTATCAGCTGTAAAGCTGATAAAGGTGATGTGGAAAGGCAACAGCTGGGTGTCTCGTTTAGCCAAACCACCGCTCTCACTGCAGCACGGGAGTTTTCCAGGGCCATTTGTCAGTAGCTTTTTTTCTTTTTTTTTTCTTTTTTTTTTTTTTTGATAGCTAAACGGGCGTGTGAGAAACCTATGGTTTATTTATGTTTTTTCCGCATCGCTATCAATTCGGACAATTTCCGGCCTAAACAGCGTTCGATTGCAAAAAAAAAACCGCATCATTCGAGGCACGACTTAAAAACATGCATTGCATGCTCCCTGGGCGTGCTGTTTAAAAAAAAAAAAAAAAAAAAAAGGGAAGGGGAAAAAAAAAAAAAAGGGGCTTTTCTGAGGCAGCGTGGTGTCCTCTGCAGCCACAGCGGTGCAGCAGCAGGGACAGCAGCCACCTGCTCGCAGCACCGCCGGACCCTTCCCGCTGCCGCAACCCCGCTGCCCCCCGGGGGTGTCGGCGGTGCCCGTCCCTCGGGGGACACGGCGGGGCTGCGGCTCCCCCCTCGCCCTGCCCCGGGGGCGGCCCCGGCGCGCCCCGCCCGCCGCCACTGCAGAGGGAGCCGGGAGCGGCCGAGGATGGCGGCGGCACCGCCGGCGCGGGAGCTCACGCAGAACCCGCTGCAGAAGACGTGGGAGCCCTACGACAACGGGCTGCCCGCGGGGCACAGCGCCCAGCGCGGCGGTGAGCGGGGCGGGGGGCGCGGCTGTCAGCGGGACACCCCCGGGGAGGGCGGCGGGGAGCGGGGACCGCCGAGACCCCTCCCCGGGGCTGCTCGCCCGCGGATCCCCCGGCTCGGTCGCAGAGGGGTCGGTGACCCGCCGGGGTCTGTCGCGGTTTCCCCCCTTCCCCCTCCGCCCTCCCGTGGAGGGTCGAATCCTTGGATCTGTGCCCAGCGGAAGGAAAGGGAAGCTCAGCTGGATGGGAAGAAAATCTTCTCCAGTAGCTTTTGTTGCTCTTTCGGTTGTTTCTTAGTCGCTGTGGTTCCAGGGAGCGTTTATATTCTTCAGAGTGTTCTTCTTGGAGAGAGGCCTAAAAATGTCACTGTGTTCTTGTTTTGGTTGTTGGTTTTTTGTTTTTGTGTTGTTGTTTTTTTTTTTTCTCCTTCAAGGCCAATGCTGTATCAGCCCATCTGTTCTGTGAGTTAATGACTTCCCATATTTTGAGGTGCAGCCAACCAAGTCATCAGCCTCCTGAGCCTTTGGCTGTGGCTTTTGTAAACCATAGTTCATTAACAAACTTTGCCTCGCAGGTTGTTTCTTTTCCTCTTTCTTTCTTTCTCCCCCCCTTACTTAAGTAAGGTCCAGTTACTTAAGTAACTGAGGTCTAGTACACGGCAGTTTTTGTGGACAAAAGGGGCTTTGTCATGTGGAATTGTTTTTATTTGTGATGCAAAGAGGCTGCGCTGACAGAGCTGAGGCTCTGCCTGTGTGGCAGGAGTCCATGGGCTGCAGCTTTGGCTCTCTCTCAGCTCTTGCTTTGGCCTAGCCCTTGTTTAAAATAAAGGAAGAAACCCCCAGACTTTCTTGCTGTGTGCTAGGCAAGCAGGCATGTGTTTCTGTGGGAACTAAATTACTCCAGCATCTGAAACACGGTGGGTTAAGAGGAGATGAGTGCTGAAAGAGGAAAAGGGTCAGAAAATGTGTGTAAGTGCTTTTGTAAACATGCTAAGGAGCAGGCTTAATTTTAGCCTTAATGTGGCATCTCTTTTCCAAACAGAGTAACATTTGTTAGAGCTTAGCACAGGCACTGTTTTACAAAAAAGGAAACCCCAAGAACAAAATTGCATATTGGTCTTGTGTAATCTGGTGATCTACAGAGTTGTCTTGGCAGAATTATTTAGCTTCTCTCGACTATAACTTAAAAAAAATTTCAACTACCTGTGTGGGTTTTGTAGCATTCTATAATTTTAATGCCTAAGATCCATTATAATTCAAAAATCCTTTTGCTAGAAAAATAGATATGGAATTTATTTTTTTAAATCATTTTGCACACATTTGCTCTTGCAGCTCTGACCGTAACATGTCTGCAATCATTTGTGATACATAAGAATTACAAACAGCCTGGAGAGGAGCAGAACTTACTCTTTCTAGATAAAACCATCTGTCTTGTTTCAAGAAACTGAGAACACTTTGTAATTTTCCCCGTACAAGGGTGTTGCAGAGTCCTTTATCCTCAGATTTCCATGGATCTTGCACTGCCCTATGTTCTGGTGAGCATGACCTGCGGGTGCTGTAGCTGTGCTGTGGCAGCTCAGGATGGACTGTCCAGACTGGGTGATGTGGGACAGTGTTGGGTTGACCAGTTCCAGATCTCTGCTGCTACAGGTAGCTCTGTCAAATGGTAACAAAAATGGTTCCAAAAATACGAGCTCCAGGTGGAAGTGGATTTGTTGTCCTCAAGTGTAGCTTTCCAGTTGAAGAAGTGAAGTTTGTCACTCTGTCTTCTGAGTTTCTCTGCTAAACAAGATGAACTCTCTCAGTCTCCTTTGGTTGTGTTTTTTTATTTTCTCGTTCATGCTGACGGCCTTTGCCTGCACCACCTTTAGTCTTTATCTTTCTAGAAGGTGAGTGAGCAGAATCACACAAACTTCCAGTTGAGTGCTCGGCAGATCCATCTTCAAAGGGACTTACCCATTTTAGCTGATTTTAGTGTGATTTTCTAAAAGTTGTAGCAGCTGCAGTTGTCAGCGGAAGAAGAAATCTGGTGAGCTGTGCCAGGGTTTAGCTGTCATGGGGCTTTGAGGAGCCAGTTCTTTTAGTCTGTGCATTACAAGGTCTTGGAGGAGTTGTTGTGTCCGTGTGCAGCCTACTGAGCAGACAGCTTTTACAGCTGGTGACACCAGTCCAGCGAGGGTAACTGTTCTAATGACCTTTCAAAGTCAGACTAGTGGGCAGTAGAAGTGCATATTTTTATTAATAACTGCCTTTTGTGGTCTTTCTTGGTAAGTTTTGTCTGTAAATAGGTTGCATTAAAGCTACTCTTGGCATTGGATGTCAGGCTGCTTCGAGCTCTGAGTCAAGGAATGGGCTATAAATGTGGACATAGAAAATAAATAGGAAAGTATTCTGTAGTGAAAGTTGTTTTGAGAGTCTAGAAGAGGATGTTTATAAATAGTGAATTTCCTGTGGTTAAACATTTTTCACCCCCTCTACAGTTAATGGCTTTGTTTCCCTACAGCTGCCGGAGTTTGGTCATTCTAATAATTGTAGTTTGTTGCTTGTTCAGCAGAAGGAATGTATGTTAGGTCCAAAAAAAAAGTATCAAATTATTATCTCTGCTCTAAGGAGCTCTACCCTTTGAGCACACGCTGCTTGCGTGTATTTGTGCTCCCAACCCTAGGAACTGAAGATGGAGAGGGAATGAGGTAAGGACAACACCCAGCACAGCCTGAGAATCAGGATGTGTGATGAGACCGTCACTGTTGGCATCAAAGCTGTAGGAAGCAAATGGTTAGTCCAAGGAAGTGAACGACAGGAGCAGCTGGTGGCATGGATGGCTTGAGGACAAATATGAGTTCTGAATCACTTGTACCCACGGTGATGTTATAAACTGGTGGTTTGGACAAAAAGAAGAGGGACAAATTGGAAGATAATGCACTTCTTAGATATAGGCAGGAGATGCTGTTCAGGAAGGGGAAGTCATCCCTGTGGGATGCAAAGCAGGGTGACTGGTTATCATCATTGATCAAAAGGAGACAATGGATTAGCAGTAGTTAAATTGGATAAGTGATGGGGAAAAGATGTAGGGCTAACCTTATTTGGAAGGGTGGTTGTGTTGGCAAATAGTCAAAGATATTTTTGTATGAGCCTCTAAATAGTACAAGGATTTTGGAGGACAGGCCTTGAATCGAAGGCTGTAGAAACAGCAAGAGTCCTTGCTAAACTTCACATCACTAACCACAACAGCTTCATACAAAAAGCATCTGTCCTTAAAAGCTGACTTCAAAAATTTAACACAGATAAGGAATAAACAAAATCTAACTTTAGGTGAAAGGAAGGGGCACCTGATAATATGTTTGCTAGCAGGTGAACTTGAAAAATACCAGCTCTTGTCTCTGATTTCACAAGATCATGAGAGTTTTGAGGGCTGATGAAATGCAGCACAGCTGATCGAGATTGTTCCATGTCCCAGTTTGGTTTCACAACCTTCTTTTCCATTTGCATTATTTCACAATAGAGTCCAAGAGGTAAGAAATAAGCATGTAATTTCTTCTTTCCTTGCCTGTTAAGCCTTAAACTTCAGAAGGGTAGACAGTCATAATTCTACACTTGAGCTGCACCTTGCTGTGTTGCTCACTAATATATAAGGAATTTTAAACTGGGATAATGACTTTGCTTTGGTTGCAACACTGCATTTTAATGCACTTCACCATTTGGCTGTTTTCCCTCACTGATTGATATTTTGGGTGTGTTTTTTTTATGTTCCCTCCAGTTGAGGGAATACAACGTGCATTTATTTTTGGTGATGCTGTTTATAAACATGCACTCTTACATGTGTATGTTACAAATGTCTATTTTAAAGAAAAAACTGACTAAAGTCTTAGAGCATCTTTAGCAACTGATGGCACACAACTCCTAAGTTTTGGGTTGCCGTTCTGAGTGTGTGTTCCTCTAGCAAAATTAGAGTTGATGGCATATCCACAGGCTGGGGCTGTTGGAAAGCCTTAGGAGCTATATATGTGAAGCAGTATTAAAAAATGAGATGGTTTTCTGGAGACTAGATTGTGTAGAGAGATTTCTGGTGGTAAGCCAGGCAATCCAGCAATAAGGAATAGAGAGAAAGCTGACCTTAGGAGTCTGCCTTGGCTCTGCAACTTTCACCTCTAGAACTACTTTTGGTCTGTAAATTGTTTTTCGTATAAAGTGAGTAGTGGTGATGTGAAGAGGGGAACTGAGCATTGTGCCATTGGGAAACCGATATATGTAGCATTTATATTAAATATATGTACCTTGTGGGTATGCTTGGGTGTTTTTATTAGTCCACTTCCTCGTTGTAAACTTGCTTACATTTCTTCAGGGGAAAATGTAATTCATGAGACGCTGACATTTTAAAATACCGTCACTAGAATGAATATTCCTCCCCACCTGCAGTGAGTGTTGGCAACACTTTGTTGAGAAGGCTGTGGCTTAGTCAGATAAAGTGAAAGATAATTAATTTTTAAAATAATTTTGAGTATTTGATACATCCTCAGAACATGGCATTTTGTTCTGGTCTTGACTTTTTATTGAGCTAATGAGCAAACAGGATCATAAGGAAGAAAATAAACCCATGTCTGCTGTTTTGAGTCTTATGTGTGTTGTTGAGGATGCTACACTGAAGTACATAAAAAACAAGATATCTGCTTTTTTTTGCTTTTGGTTTTAGTCCTGTCATTTAGCTGTTAACATCTGTTTTGGCCAGCACAGGTACCTTTGGCTTCTACTTCCAAATACATAGGTGTGTTTGTCACTAAGTGCCACCTGTGTAGGTGATACTGGACTGCATGGTGGCCATCTAAACCAGAACATCAAACATTTTTTAGTGCCCTGAATTTTAGATTGTGAAAATTCATCTTCTTGTTAAAGACAAGCACTAATGGGTGGTATGTGCTGTAGCACCATGTGCTGTGTAGTGTTGTTCACAGGGCTGTGACATTATGTAAAAGCAGAGTATTTGGGATCATTGGGATCAGTGGTATTCCTCCTTTTGGTGTGCAGGGCATCTGTCTTACTTGTATCTGTAGAGGAAAAGCACTCCCAGTTAGCCTGGCACCTGATCAGAGCAGGTTTGCTACTTGTTTGATTGGGATAATTCCCTTGGTTTCTGCTTTATGGCTACCACTAGATAGTGGTGCACAGAGCAACTGGAATAACAAGTGGGGTGTGCACCTTAAACTGGACACAGAGGGCTCCAGTAAAGGCAGGTTTTGCTAGTGTTGTACTTTCTTTGAGGAAATTTGTGTAAAAATTTAAGTAAAAATGCACGTGATGCCAGGCTGGCACACTGACTGCTTGGCAATGGGAGGAAACATCCCTTGTGCATGGTGTGTTGATCTGGTTCGCTGCTCGGTGAGAAGATCTGTTACAAACCCCTGCAGGCAGTAGGACTTAATTTAGAATTAGCTGTTGGTGTAATCCGTGAAGCAACTATTTAAGTGTGTTGCAGAGCTCTTCATGGTGGCTTCCCAGTCCTTGGTTTTGCTCCAGTACAGGTTTATTGTTACATTACCAGAAGACAAATGTTCTGTGAGAAGGTTAAATTTGTGTGGCTGACCCCAGCAGAAGAAGAGAAAAAAAAAAAAGCTCTTAGTATAGTGTCTGGAATGGGTAGAAAGGCCTGTTTTAGCACAGTTCTTTGCAGAACAGGAGGACCTGAGGCTGTGCACAGAGCCTTTGTGTACAGATCCTGGTTTGTCTTTTGCAGCTCTTAATTCACTGCTTATACTGAAAATCTGTTCAAAACTCGAACTAGGTGTTTCGGGTGAAGAACTCTTCAAACTGGCTTTGAAGAGCAGTGTTTTCCCCTAAAACTTCTAGGGGCTCAGGCATTTCTAACATCTCAATACTTTATTTTACTGCCCTTAAAACTGGAAGCAAAGCTGTTAAGCTTAGTAAATGCTGTACCACTGGCACTTCATAGACTTTGTTTTCCCAGAGACTTCCTTCCCCCTCTTGGAGAGCGGTTCACAGCCTGAACTTATGACAAAGAGGAAAAGGGACAAGAAAATATTATCTTTCTTGTTTATAGGCTTTTGCACAGAGGAACTGACTCTGAGGGCTTTTATCAGTGTCCTTCCGGAGACTTTGACATGTTTGGATGGATCTGTTTTGGTTTACATTTAGGTCCCTGTAACTTTCAGTTCATGGAGTAATTGCCTGTTTCATGGCTTTGAGGTTGGGTACCACTTTGTCTCCTCTCTCATGAAAAGTGCTGTATTTTTAATAGGTTTGGGTTTGGTTTTGTGGTTTGTTTTTTTTTTTTTCTTTCCAATGAGTGTTTTAAGAAAGCACATCTGCCTTTACTAATCTGTTGGCCTTTTCCAATTTATTATTTGTGCAAATGACTTTGTGAGGTTGGACTTTGTCAATCCAAGATTTGAGAATCTTGGGCAGTCACAGTGCTTTGTACAGCAGTTTAGTTATGCCTTAGAGATAAACCCTGAGATTTAATCTTTTGAAGTGAATGGATGTCACTGAGGAAATTGTTAGACATGTGGATTGTGTAGAAATTAATTCCCTTGAAAACAGGAGGTGGAGGGAGCTGGTGGTATCTTTGCATCACTTTAATATCTGCTTTCTTTTTAGGCAGTTCCTTGTAGCTGTGGTAGATTCATGCAAGGTATCCTTAATTTTGTGCCGTCAAAATGTTAAAAAACTTGTCATTTGAAAGGAAATGCCTCAAGGTCTTCAGTCTGTACATATAATTCCTTCAACTTCCTACACTGTTGGGTTTTTTAAATTAAACACTCTGATTATGAGTATTTTTGTACATATATCTGTATCAGATTATTGTATTTGATTATGTAGAATACTTGTGCTTTATTCCCAGTAACAGCCAAAATGAGCTCTGCTCAAGAGAGATTTTTATTGGTAATAATATTTAAAAGAGAAATAATAAATAGTGAATACCCTGTTTTACTGTAATAAGGTGCATCTGTCATGCTTGTTTTGTTCAAAAGCAAGAAAAAAGTTGAGCAGTGTTGAGGTCTTGTCTTAGAGATATAAAAATTAACTAAAAATTGCCTACACCTTGCTGTTTCCTTTCAATGCAAGCACTGAACTGGGGTGCACAGGTGTATAAGATGTCAGTGTCCTTATTTTTTGTATGCAAATACGTAGATTTCTTGTTTCCTGCCTGTATACAACTCATGTGTCCAGCACTGCACTACCACTGAGTCGCCCTTCCGAAATTCAGCACAGCATAAGAAACCTGGTTAGGTCCACTTTACTCCTGTAGGATCCCCTGGAATAGTGAGGCACAGTGCATGAGCTGCTTGGATGGTCACTTCCTCAGAGAGCACACAGAGACTAATTATTGCAGTAATATTTCCACTGCAATAGGAGCCTTTGCTTTGTGGGGATATTAACGGTAAATCCTAGTTTTCTGTGTTTCTGTTTCAGTATGTATGACCAATTGCCCTACTCTGATTGTCATGGTGGGTCTCCCAGCAAGAGGAAAAACCTACATCTCGAAGAAGCTGACACGCTATTTAAATTGGATTGGAGTGCCTACAAAAGGTGATGGGTTTACTTTTGTTTACATCAGAAGGACAGGGCAGGCGTCAGGTGTTTTAAAAACCCAATTTCCAGTAATTTTGTTGCTAACATTGACTACTTTAAAATCCTGCTTTTGTATTTTTAAGCAATAACATACACATGCTCTCTGTCCTATTTAAATGTTAACCAATCTTTTGTATTTTTAAGCAATAACATACACATGCTCTCTGTCCTATTTAAATGTTAACCAATTTCTGGCAACTATTTATTTACCTCCTTGTTCTGCCAGGTACCTAAATCAACTTTTTTTTCCCTTATTCCTTACCACTGCCCTTTATTTTCATTTATTTAATTATTTTTTCCTGCTATTCCTTCCCCATTCTTTATGTGGGTGAAGATGAATCTTGTTTACAAGCAGCTGTGCAGTCAGCACTTCTGGATTAAACTTCTGACTTCTCTGTCGTTTTTTCTCTGTGAACTTTGTGCCACATGTAATTCTCTGTCCGCTTCTTTGTTTAACTGTATTTGTGGAATGATTTACAGTTTTTTGTGTAAATATTTGTGTAAATATTCCTATCCCAAGGAACTGAGGCAGCCACTTGCTACTCGTTATCACTATCTTAAGGATTTATATCAATGTTTTGAGCAGTAAATGGTTCAGGTTGGCTGTGACAAGGACCTGACTGTCCTGCGTCATTCCTGTGCTCCTGTGGTACCTTGTGGGCCCAGACTGGCAAATAAACAAGACCTAAGTCCATTTGGTCTTTGCCAACCAAAAGAAGGCAACCTTTGCCTTCTCCTGTCTCTGTAGAACAGAAAAAATAGAAAGTTTTAGTGTTCTGTGATCCTGTGTCCAGTGTGGTAATGGTAGCTTTATCATTATGCCTAGTTAATCATTTAAATAACATTAAACATGTGAAATCATACTGAAGTTTTGGCTGGATATTCAGAGATGTGTTTCCTAGTAGCTCTAAGAAGTCAAGACGAAGAGTTCTGGCCTATATTTAAACTGCCTCTTGATTCTAGGGTATAGCTTTTTGAGTTGGCGTTTTCTTGAGCTTTTAGAAACTTGCCCGATGTGCTTTATTTAGAAGAGACATTATGGAGGATATATTATATTGTTTAAGTGTGAGAATTTACAGGATGTTTACAAGATTTAAATTATCACTGTAGTTTGACTGTTTTCACCCAGTTTAACCCTTCTGATGAGCAGTATCAGATACTTGGAGAGTTTGGTTTTATCCATTAGGCTGAAATGGCATAACAGTCTAACTAGTTTAGCCTATATCCAAGCTGATAAAATATATGTGATATAACTATGCTTGTATGTTAGATACACATTTGACCTAAATTTATGTAGATATGTTAAGTTTATATGTCATTGTGTAGAGCACTTCACTGTGTGAACTTTGAAAGGCAGGAGTCCAGTACTGGACAACAACAAGATACTGTCCACATCTGGCTCATGTTTGGTTGAATATGTCCCAAATACAGTAAAATGGGTAGGTGTGGTTTGCCTCAGTTACAGGAAAAGGTCCATGGGCCACTGTGAGCAGCACCTCAGATAACACATGCACTTGTGCTTAATGAAAACTAGAGCACTGCTGCCTAATTTAAAAAAAAAAATACCACATAAAGTTACCATATGAGCTTCCGTCCTAAGTTGCTGATTACTGTTTGTCTTTGTTAGAAAGGGGATGACTTGAGATTCTCTTGGAAAACCACAGAGCCTTCCTGTTTGTGTCATCAATGATGCAGTTGTGCTGAAGTTGAAATCAATGTGAAACCCCTCAGTGCCTGACTGAGGGAATAGATGACACACTGCCTAATGCTTCCAGCTGATGGGACTGAATCAATACAGGATCAGTATCTAGTAGCCCTAACATCTGTTACCCTTTGGCTCTTAATGTCTTAAAATTAGTGTGTGCTTAATTTAAGGAGTGTTCTTGTTCTCTGAGACAGATGGTTCAAATTAGGAGGTTATGTAAACCAGAGGAAAAGATAAATGCCATCTTTCCGTGTAACATTAAGCCAGCTGGAGAGCTCAAGAGCAGAAAGTGGAGGTAAATAGCCCAGGGGTGGTGTTAGTTGAATCATTTCAGCCATCAGTTCTGTGTTTTCTTCCTTCCAAAGTCCGCTGTTGTTTAGAATGTGAAATGGTTAAAAATACTGAGGACTTTTGTCTGGGCTTTTTGAAGGAAATGAGGTCAATTAGATGCCTGAATAGAATTGTGTTGCAATGTGGTTTTTAGATACTAAACCTTGGAAGCTTTTTTGAATAGTTGTGGCTGTGTGGTAGTTGTGATACCCTTTAGCTTTAGGAAACTTTTTCCATAGGGATGGATGCTAATAATAAGGGCAAAAGATTGTCCCACTAGATAGCACTTTTCCTTTGCTGTGCAGGACCCTCTTGCAGTAACTGTTCCTTCCTATGAAATTCATTACTTTTGATTTTTAAAGGTCTATTGCCTGACAACGCTGGCCATCTGATCTTCTTGCATCTTCTGTTTTTCTTACCAGGACCCACCTTTTCCTGTGGCCAGTGATTGTTAAAACCATCACAGAAATAACCTGGGTTGTTCTACAATCCAAGCCATGCAGTTGACCATGAAAAATTCCATCAACACTGCTGAATTCAAACAAAACTTGACTTTTGGGGAAATAAGCAATAGTTATATCTTTATCCTCTGCCCCCAGTCCCAGCAGCAATCTGTATACAGCAGCTGGTTCTTGAGCCGTTTTATTCTATGTCTTTTCTTTTTAATTACAACTCTACAGTTGTGTCTGTTGCTTCTTTTCCTCTTTCCAGAAATGAAGTCTGCCAAATAGCTGTACCTTGGCAGCTTCTCAAACAGAATACTTCAGTGTGATCTACTGTTACAAAAAAAAAAAAAAAAAAAATAGAAAAAGCTTTGTAGTTCAACAGAAAAAAAAGCTATAGGTCAGAAACAACTTAAACATTAATTGCATTTCAGAGACCTACTTTCAGAGCCGTTGAATGAAATTAATTAGGGTTCAGTGTCATTGTCTGCTCCGTAGCAAAACAGAACTGTCTTGCCCTGATGCCATACCCAGTATTGTAACATTATTTTTTTAAATGTTTTGTTTTTTTAGTTTTTACAGTGTAAGGGTTTTTTTTTTTAAATAAATAGAACAGGGGTTGTGAAATAGGACATAGTAATCCTTAAGGAATAGAAGTATTTGAGCGGGGTTCTGAAAACAAGTTTCCACTGCTCGAATTCTAAGTTTTGTTTATCAAAAGCAGGATTGGTTAGTTCTTTTTAGAACTCTTCCTTGCTTAAAGAAGAGCTCTAAGTTTTGGGAGGTGCTGCCAGAGTACTGTTTAACTGTGTATATACACAGAAGAAAAAGCTAGTAATCATAATTATTAATAATTATTAATGCTAGTAGTTATTAGTAGTCCCTCGTAGACTTTGAGTAACCCCTGTAAAGGAGGAGAAGAGTTTCTTTTTGTTGACCAGGCAAACTGGCAGAGGCACTTCAATATGGCCAAGTCACTCCACTGAAACTACCTACAGCCCAAATGTTCTTTAGCCATTTCCATGATTTATTGTTGTCTTTGTATTCAAAGCCCCTCAAAACACAGGAAGTAGTATGATATGTTAGCTTAATAAGTGCTAAGTTATTGTATCCTTGCAGGTGGTTTGGTTTCAGAGTTGTCATAACTTTTGTCCTTTTTCCATGACTGTTGTTAGTTCCCACTAACACTTGGTTTCCTCTTGGCAGAGTTTAACGTCGGTCAGTATCGCCGAGATTTGGTGAAAAAGTATAAATCCTTTGAGTTCTTCCTGCCTGACAATGAAGAAGGCTTGAAAATCAGGAAGTAAGTCTTGGTTATGTTTGGTACACAACGCTAATTGTATTAAAATGATGTCCTGTGTAATTTGCTCATGGAGGTGGATTTAAGTTGCATTTTTGTAATGCAAAATGTAAGGGTCAAGAAGACCCTTAGGGAGACTGCAACATGAAATGACAGGGAGAAGACATTCTGTAGAAGCTGGAAAAGTGATTTATTTAGGCTGATTAAAATTTGGAGAGAAGGTTGATTCCTTCTTGATTCCTTTTAACTTTTCAGTAGGCTATGACTACTGTTATTCCTGTAGATATTCTAGGATATTTTCACTCAAAACAAAGCAATTTTAGCAAGTAGTTACTTCTTTTCCTACCTTTTTTAAGGTATCAGTTAATGGACGTGACTCTTTCTGCTACCTAATTCCAAAAATGCCATTTTAGAACTTTTTTTTTTTTTTTTGATCATAAAAAGAAGAGAATAAACACCGCAAATCTTCATTTCTTTTTGGTTTGCATCCTGAAATTTTTCACCTGGAGTGCTTTGAATGGATTTGTCATTACCTATTCAAATGAGCAGGAATCAAACCCTATAATTTTCTCCCTGTAATTGTCTTTCTGTCCACCATGCAGGTGCCTCATGCAGTCAGTCAATGCACTGCTTCTAAAATTGCCATGTTTTGCTAATGCTGCACAAAGCAAGGTCAGAACCAGTGTGAACATCTGTGTGCACATGAAGCATTTGAGTCTCTCCTCATCTGGAAAGAGGCTGTGCTTCAATGTAGAGACAGACCTTGAGAAGAAAGGTTAGATGAAGAGACAGGTCTCTTGATTTTAATTCGACATACACTGTACTTTTTAATATGTTCAGGAAAGCATTTAAGAGTGTGCAGCACGAAATGAGAAGGAACAGAAATCTGAGAGGAATGGAAATATTTTTTTTATTTAGGCTACATGAAATGTGGACTGTTTTGTTCTTAGTTCAGCTTCAGCTCAAGAGCCAAAAATGTCTGGACTTTCTTTTGTGGCTGTTCCTCCCCTTGTCCTCTCTCTCCCTTCCCTTTCCCCCTCAGCAGCCCTGAGTGCTGCTAATGCCAAATAGAACAACTTGCATAAGAACCTCCTAATCTTCTGGGAGTAAGGAGTTGCTCTGAGAGGTGCATTACCCTTGCAAGCCACTACCTTTTGCTTACAGGTAGAACCAAACCTTTTAACGTGCCTCCGTGTCACCTCTTAGACCTAATGGTGGGGGATGTAACATGAAAAAGGGCTGTGTGAGCTAATCTGCCTGCTTAGCAATGAGTAAAAAGGGTTTATATTTATTCAGTGAAGATTTGACTGTTGAATCTCAGCTCCTGACATCTGTTAAATGTGCTGATGTGGAAATACTGTCAGGATTGGAAAGCCTTCATTTCTCTTTTAAGATAAAGCTGTGCGTGCAGAATGTGGTAAATAGAAGAGTTATGAGTTTCAGTCTGGAAGTCAAAATCGAGGAGTAATGCACAGAAGGGCTGTTGAAATGGTCAGGCTTTTATGTTGGTACTGCAAAGAGACTGCACTAACTGGAAATAAATGGGGCACTGTTCTACTAACAAGTAAATCGTGTACAGTGTTAATGTTGCCCTCCAGCATTATTGATGTGTTAGGAATCACAATGGACTTTGAAGATAATACTAATTCTGGGGACATAGGAAGGTTGCAAATGAATGTGTTCTTGTTCAGATTTAACACAAGTGTAGGGGTGGGGTTTTTTGGTATTTATGTCCTTAACTGCCTCCAGCACTAATTACACTGGGTTGGTGACTGCAATATTTTCAATTATTTTCACCCTAATACTTTGTTTTACTCTCTGTTTCAACCCATGTTTTTTTACATAAGCAGTTTTCACACAGTAGCTCAAAAGAGAAGAAGTAGATTGGTAAGAAATAGTTGTCTCTTCACCTTAACTTAGGGCCACAAGATAAGAGCCTTAAGTTGGCTTAATTTATTTATTCCCTCCTCCCCCCCTTTGAGAACCAAATTAAGAAGCAAATATCTGAATAGCTAATTGGGGAATGAATACAGTTGCAGAGATGATTCAGTGATGTTACTTTGGATCAGTGAAAGTTTCTCCTGGTCACCAGAGCTCTGGTGGCTGTTCTGTGGGGATGTGAAGGTGTATCAGTTACACAGAGGAGCCAGATGACGTGACCGTGTTTCCTTGGTATGGCTTGGTTGTTCTCAGTTGGTTTTTCCCATGCTTGGAGGGGGACTGTGCTTTTGAGATAAATTATCTAACGTTTGCAGGGCACAAAAGCATTAATAAAATGGCTTGAGCTGTTATTTGACTTTTACTCTCTCTCATTTTTAAGACAGTGTGCCTTAGCAGCGCTGAATGACGTCCGGCAGTACCTCAGTGAAGAAAACGGGCACGTGGCTGTAAGTTTCTTGTTGAGGACACATTCTTGAGATGCTTCTGTTCTTAACAGTGTGTGTCTGCTGGATAATACACAGACTGAGTAATTCCAATAGCTCTTCAGTTTATCAGATTTTTTTCTTTGGCAGTTGTGTGTTAGATCTGCCTGTTGCTGGAAGGAGCACTTGATTTCAAGGTGATGATGCCATATGAGCAGCTACCTTTGATTTGAGGGGTTAGCTGGGAAGAGGGCAGCAAGAAAAATGTCCCCCTTCTCTCCATGTTGTATAATGTACCGTTAAACACATCTGGTGTTTTGCTTGCACCTCTGTTTCTATTTGATGATCTGGTGTTCCAAGTGGAAGGTAGAGACTTGCTGAACAAAAAAGTATCCTCTGTATTGCTTGGCAGTTGTGTTACTGGCATGAGAAATCTCTGAAGAGAGCAGGAGAAACATCATAATAAATTGATGCATACCTGAGTATTTAATAATGGGATGCAAAACAACAGCTCTTCAATTATTGTCATTGCATATTCATTCAGATTAATTTGCGTAATGTTTTTCTTAAGACTACTGACACAACTCTGGTGTTTTCATTAACTAATCAGGGAAAATCATTAACTGTATCTGTAAATTCTGCTGGAGACATAAAGGAAATGTTATACTTTAGCAAGCTTCATTCTTAAATAAAACACTGATATGTTCAGAGCTAAATGTAAGTCCTTAGAAGAATGACTGCATTGATCGTGTAATCCACGGGCAAGATTTACAACTTTAAAGATTTTCCCTTGCATTTTGAATGGCAGATTCATTGCAGCATCTTTTTTTGTGTGGTAGAACTTAAAACCTATGCAGTAGTATTTAATGATGATAATAGGCCAGAAGGAAGATTCTGTCCTGTATTATGTGGTAGGTTTAAATTCTGGTTGCTCCTTTCAAACCCAGTGTACTGCTAGTAGTGCATTCAAAATATTACTCTTTTTAATATTTAGAAAATAGTATGTGTAGAGTAGGAATGTCTTTGCTTTCCTCTTGAGCATGTTGATGTGGTGGGGTAGAGGGAAGGGGAAGTGTTTCCATTGCTTTCCTTTACATTGTGGGACTTTGAACCCTTATTTTTATTATCACTAACAGACTGTGATGCTTTTCAAATGCCTTTCTCTCTCTCCCTGTAATTATTCCTAGGTCTTTGATGCTACAAACACAACTCGAGAACGTAGAGAAACTATTTATAAATTTGGTGAAGAAAATGGGTATAAGGTGAGTTAGAAGCAAAGCAGCTCTGAGCTAATGCCTGAATAAATAAGGCAGGGATAGTTTTGCCCTTATCTGTACCCTGAGTTTAAGAAGTGCACTAGCACAAGGCACATCCTTCTTAGATGTTTATTAATAATGCATTTTGTATTCCCAAAAATTTTTCTGAATTAAAAGCCATCCCATCCTCATTTTCCTCATCTGTCACATTGGTACTGTTTGGAGCTGTTTTGTGCTGTGGCTTCAATTCTGTCATCCTGGACCTGTAGTTCTGAGTGTACTGTCAGCAAGAACTATTTAAAATACGGTTCTCTGTGCAGTTCCGATATTTACTGCAGGAACAGGGAAGGAATTCTGTGTTTGTTCTGTACAAACCACAAACTTTATGTGGTTTTCTTCCTTCTGTCCAGGATTGTTTGGCATTTAACTGTTCTCCAGTAAAAATCCATTTCCTCTAAACTTACATCTCCATAAACCTTTGACACAGCAAAACACAAACCTCTCTTTAAGGAGGCCACTCCATTAGCTGAGAGAGGCTTCTAAAGTATTATTTCAGAAGCATTAGTTACTGTTTGTTTGGCTGAACATGCATCCTCTGCATTTATTTCTTCTCCTTCCATGCTACATCTTTTTTCTCACTGAAAAATTTTTCCACTCATAAGCATTGTTGGAGAAAAGACTATAAAGAATGATACTTCATGGAATGGTCAGCCAGGAATTTCTGATGAGAGGGTCTGGAGAAACTTCCTGAGTAAATAGAGGGAAGTTTAACATAGGACACTGCTAAAAAGGCCTTAGCATGGAAGTGGGCAATATGCTGCTTGTGTGTGTTGGTCTCCAGAGCTTTTTTAATGTGTTCTTCCTTCCTTCTGTTCATGTGACTTCCATTTGGACTGAAGACTTTTTTTGTGGAGTCAGTGTGTGTTGATCCAGAGGTCATTGCTGCAAACATTGTGGTGAGTATTGTGATGGAGGAAAGTTTGCTTTAACCTCTCTGTATTTTTAGAAGTACGTTGTAAGAACTTCCAATAGCAGAAAACCCCCACATTAGCTCCCATTAATGGAACAGTTTTTATTTATTTTCCTGTCCATGTGACTGTTACTAACTCAGAAGTTTAATTTCTCTGAAGAATAATTATTTTTGCTTTACCTGTATTTTAATTAATTTCCAGACAAAGCTTCTTGTTGTGTTCTTCCCCTTCCTATTTCTTTAGACGTCCATGAAAAAGGGAAAGAAACTTATGTACTGCTCTCCTGCTTTTATTTTAAACAGCAAGTGAAGCTGGGTAGTCCTGACTATGTTGATTGTAGTAATGATGAAGCAACAGAAGACTTCATGAAAAGAATAGAGTGCTACAAGAACTCATATGAGACATTAGATGAAACTCTGGACAAGTAAGTGATGAAACAATACTGTGATCACAACTGGTGATCCAGTATTATTAAAATGTTTTCTTAAAGGTTAGAGCATCCTGTAGTGGGGATTAGGGCTTTCAAGACGTTTTTTAGTGGCTTCAGCTCTCTTTCCTTTGGCAAATTAGAGACAGTTGACTCAGGGAGTGTAGCCTGGAAACTTCCTTGTTTGAGGAAAATTGGCTAACAAGTCTACTCTTGGACAATATTTTTTTTTTATTTTCCCACTTGGAGAATGGTATGATTCTTCTGGGATAGAACCAGCATTTAGGACTTATTCCAGACTTGCTACAGTGATTGGTTGGTACTTGTTTCTTTAGTATGTAGAGGAGACTTGAGTGATTTGTAAGCATAACTTAATTGGTTGGCATGGTTAAGATTAATTATGAACACATCACTCTTAAAAATGTGACTTCGAAATTTATTTATTTGTGCTTGCAAATTACCCTGCAGATTCAGGACTGTGAGAAACTGTCTTAGCTAGGTTGTTTATCCTCATGCCAAAGCATTCTTCTGTTCCTCGTTAACTTTGAACTCTTGAAAGTAAGGTAGGGATGAACCATGCGAGGAGGAGCCCCGTTTCTCTTGCTACACTCCAGGATTTCAGGGTGGGATTTGGGGCTGCAGTCATACCAGGTGATCCTGGGTTGTTCCAGGACCAGAGCTGCAGAGAAGGCTGAGCTGCATTTTAATGTAATTGGGTGGCAGCAGCGTGAAGCTGGTTCAGTCGGCTCAGTTCATGCGTGTAATTTCTGTGATGGACCTAATGGTTGTGCCTGGCTGGAATAGTAATGATTAACTCCAAAGAACACTAGCAGGGATGAGGTGATGCTCATTTCTCATCACCTTCATTTGATTTTAGTATAAATTTTCATGTTTCATTGTGGTATGAGGTCTCAAATCCATCTCTAGAAACCAACAGCGGTTATTTTCAGCTTATTAGACTTTTCCTTGTCTAAACTAGAGGCCACTCTAAAATTATAGCTCAGATGAGAAAGAATAAGCAGTGAGAGTTGAAATTATTAGCTGTCTGATGCTGAGAGAAGGTAGTGGTGGGGTAAATCACAGTACTGTTAATAAGTAGTTGTTGATAGAGCGGTTGAGAAAACATCTTGCGTCAGACTCGTCCCTGGTCCTTCTGATACCCTGGTTTTTCTGGAGGGATTAACTGAGATGGGGAAATAGTGACTGTGCCTTTTGGCCCTGGGTGCAATCAGACACTGAGGGAAAGTGTTTGTAACCTGGAAAAAAATATCAGGTATTGTAAAATAACTGGATATCTTATTCAACTGTGGTAACTTCAGTGACTCCACTGAATCTTTCTTTCAGTGGGAGGGCTGTGTTTCGCCAAGAGTAGGATCTAGATTTGGACAAAGAGCAAGTAAAGGGAACAGAAAAGAAAGTTATGTGAAAGGAATAGAGTTCATCCTGTACCTTTGGAGTAATGCATTGTTTCTTAGGACTAATGCATATTCCATGAGTGTTAGAGGATTTTTTCATTCCATTGGCTTGTTGCCCCTTTGTTTTATAATGAGAAGAGAGGGTGGAAAGATCATTGTACGTGCTAATAGAAACTATGTGGAATCTTACTACTTTTTTTTTTCCCTCCTTTTATTTGCTCATGAAAGGGATCTTTCTTACATTAAAATTATGGATGTCGGAAGGAGTTATCTTGTGAACAGAGTGATGGATCACATCCAGAGCCGGATTGTCTACTACCTCATGAATATCCATGTGACTCCTCGGTCAATCTACCTCTGTCGACATGGAGAAAGTGAACTCAATCTGAAAGGGAGAATAGGAGGAGATCCTGGGCTGTCTGTCAGGGGGAAAGAAGTACGTACCTGCTGGACAAGCGTGGCGGGGTTTTGTGTGGGTCTGTGCTGTGTAATTACAGCTTTCTTCCTCTACAGCCTTTCCTCTCAACATGTTTAAGAAGGGCTTTTTTTAGTTGCCTGTTTGGGTGGTGGAAACAGGGTGGACACTTTGTGTGTTGTGATTTGGTATGTGCTCTTTTATCTGTTTGTCTTTCTGTTGGCTGAAATTCCTCTTTATCCTGCAGCACAAAGTGCAGTTGGCGAGAGGGCTTTATTTTTTAACTGTATCTTTGTAAAATCCTGACTAGTTGGATAATTGGGAAAATACACAAGTTAAAGCTGAAAGGAAAATTCCTGGAAATGAAGTTAGGAACCGCAGAAAACTTGTATTTTCCTTGTACTACTTTTCTTTCCTCTCCTCTTGCACTTGGATAATGGAGTGTGTTGTATTTCTTAGCGAAAACTTTGACAGCATTTTGGAAAAGTTATAATGAGTTTACAGAGGCTAGAGCCGGTGTATTCCAAAGGGAACACAGTGTGTTGGCTCTGAGCCCTCATCCAGTGTCTCATGGTTTTTCTTTCAGTTTGCCAAAAGCTTGGCACAGTTTATTAATGAGCAAAATATCAAAGATCTGAAAGTTTGGACGAGCCAGATGAAAAGGACGATTCAGACTGCTGAAGCCTTGGGAGTGCCTTATGAGCAGTGGAAGGTTTTGAACGAGATAGATGCAGTAAGTTCTTCTCTTTAAAGCGTCTAATAAGTTGCTTTGATTGCTAGGGATGAAGGAAGTACTTAGTATTTTAATAATATGCCTTTTATGGGATGGAAAGTCATTGAAGCTGCTTCTAGAGGCTGGAAAAATTGTCATTAATTCCTGTTAACAAGGCTAAGCATTTTATTAAATTTTGCCATAGTTAATATTTTCTTGCTGTGTCTTTCCCAGTAAAACATTTCCCTGCAGAAACCAAAATGTTATGAAGTTTTGGGTAAGTGGGGGTTGGAAAGAAGTTTAGGGTAGGTGTGGCTTGCTAGTTGGCATTTTCCAGCTGCACCTCTAAGATATATAAGCAGGCTTAATAGATGAAATGTGACCTTGCTTGCCCATGTATGTAACTTCACCTATATAGGGATTAAATGATTCCTTCTAGCCACCTCTGAGTCCAGCTGAGTGTCCTGTTTACCACGTGTGACAATTTTAAGTGTCAGAGTAACAAAATGAAATTGTTAAAGGTTATTTATATATGGTTTTATTTAACAGTGATATCTGCTTTTGGCACTGCTGGAAATACGTAGGTTTTAATTATTTTCATAACCTACAGGGAGTGTGTGAAGAAATGACATATGAAGAAATACAGGAAAATTACCCACTTGAATTTGCACTGAGAGACCAAGACAAATACAGATACAGATACCCTAAAGGGGAGGTACGCTATTTTTAATTTTTTAAGGTGAAGGGCTTTCTTGTCTTCTTGAATACATGCATGCTGGCCTTAGGAAAAATAAATTTTAAAATTAATGAAAAGGTTATTTGTTGTACTTTCTCCACAGGAAAGTACATCGGAGCTTGCAACGATTGAGCCCAGACCATTTAAATTGATTCAGGGCTTGAAAAATAGAACAGTAAATTTAGAAAAAACAGTGGAGAGCTTTGATCTTGTGGGCATGGTTCCTGTGCTGGTCCTGCAGTGATAAAGCAGGAAGAATTGCAAGGCTTCAGCTGTTGCATATGCAAAAATACTGCCAAGTTGGGCAGTTTCTATTCACCCTTGCTCTGGGTGATGGCTGTTTTGGAGGCAGCTCTGGATGAAATGCTGGGGGAATCTCAAGCCACGTTGGTCTTTCACTTTATTACACTCCTTGCCTCTGGGAAAATCACTTGCTGACAGCTTTTCTGAAGCAACCCCATTACAGTGCAGCAATTACCAGATGGTCACAGGGTCTGTCTGTGGGTGCTGAAGGCTCAGGATTCTGGGCAGCAGGGTGGAGGAGTAATTGGACCAGCTGCTCGCTGTTTGTGTCATGGGGAACCAGAGCTCTGTCTTCTTCCTCAGCAGTCAGGAGCAATCACTGTGATAAGAGCAGCGTTCCTGGGAGTGTGACCCCGGTCTTACTAATGAGGCAGTCATTAAGCTGCTGAGTTCTCCTAATCCATTTGAACAAGGACTGTTTGTTTTTCAAACCGGTGCCGTCCTCCGGGGACGGTGACAAACATTTCAAACTCCCTCAGTGCCTTGGGGTGATTAGCTGAGCTCAGCCGTTAGTCAAAGGTAGATTTGTGTGTTTGTCAAAGGCAGTTTTGTGTCCCTGGTAACAGTCCGAGGGGTTTTGCACAGCTCGCTGGAGACCAGGGGCTTCCTCTTGCCCAGGGCTCGATCAGCAGGGGCTTTCCATCCTGCCTTGGGACCAGGGCAAAGGCTTTTGCGGTGGTCAGTCCCTGTTTTTCTGGGTGATCTGGCGAGTTCTCTGCATTTACACTGCATGACGTGTTTTGGAAGTGTTGTCTTTACTGTGGACATGAAAATTGACTTAATCATGCACAAGCAGAAACCCTGCTGTTTACCAGCAACAACATTCCTGCAGCAGATTCCCTGTGCACATGCGAGAGCATCCATTCTCCTCACTCTGTGACTTCTGGTGGGATGGTGGTTGCTGTCACCAGGCCACTTCAACAAGCCCTTGGTTTGTTTTCAAAGGGCAGCCTGAACAAGTCGGGCTTTGTAAAGTCTTTGAGTGCTTACTGTAGGCTGGGCTTCCCAGATTTTTGCTTGGAAGAGGGATGCTTTTGAAGATGAGGTATGGAAAGCGATGTGCAAGACTTAACCTGTATATTTGCAGATGATGTGAATTAAATTCTAGGCATTCTGTGGAAATTCTTGATCAAAGTGGCTAATTTAATAAAGCTTTTCCATGAGGGAGATTTATTTTATGTGTCTGCACTTTGATAGTCTGGAAGACCCAAGCTGTGTGCTCAATTTAAGGAAAATTATTATTGCAGTGTTTGTCTGTGCACTAATATATAGAAGATGACTGATATGAAAGTAAGATCCCCTGTATATCCATACACGGTTCAAAGAGTTTTCCCTTTTTAATGTGCTGTGTATTTCTCCTCCCCACCCAGTCCTATGAAGATCTTGTTCAGAGACTGGAGCCGGTAATTATGGAGCTTGAAAGGCAGGAAAATGTGCTTGTCATATGTCACCAAGCTGTCATGCGCTGTTTGCTCGCATATTTTCTTGACAAGCCCGCAGGTAAGTCTTCCTTGTTATATTACAGTTGGTCTGTTTTTTGAAAATTAACTGATTAAGCTTCCAAACAGTAAATTCTATCAGTTTCCTTTATCATCAGGGGGTGGCTGTGTTAGGCCAGTACCCAAGTGTAATTTTTTTATATTTGACCCACATGTGAATCTTGGTAGTTGATGTTATTGAGCTGCTCCTCACCTGAAACAGTGATGCTTTTTTGCTCTGTTTGATTAGCATCTCTGTTTGCATGCTAGGGAAGAAAGCAGATACAATGTCAGATAAAAACTCATTTAAGTGGTTGACCTGTAACATAATAGAGAAGTTATTTGTAACCTGTGTTTCATATGTAATTTGTGGTTTGATTTCTCAGAACAACTCCCTTACCTGAAGTGCCCACTGCATACTGTCTTAAAGCTAACCCCGGTGGCTTATGGTAAGTGGAATTAAGTGTATGTAATATATAAGTCTAACTGTGCTGTCTTTGTCATCAGGAAAGGTTGTGAAGCATTTAAATCAAACCTAAGTTTATTTTGCATTAAAATGGAATTGAACTGTTGGGTCTGACATTTCCTGTATGCCTGCCCAGCTTTGGTTAGAATCGATGAATCCTTTGGGTTACATTTGCTTTGCCTTATGCCAGGAAATACGTATGTGTTGGTGAAGGCCTGGAACCACCAGAGGCTGTAAGTGCTAGAAGAGAGGTCTGTGCTCAGTTCATGTGCTATTTCACTACTTCTTCTGGCAAACCCATGCATTTACACGTCTGGTACAGCAAGATCTCATTTTTCATTGATGTATTGGAGGGTATTGCTTTTCAGAAGACAGGCCAATTTACACTTTTATAGGTTTATCATCTTACAAAAGGTGTTCCCTTAGCCTTTAATAGCTTTGTTCTCTTTTCCTGAAGTATTTTTTTCATGGACCTTCAGAGTACCACATGCATCACCTTGTTTGTTGATGTTGGCATCGTTTTTCAGCAGCTGTTACCAGTGCTTGGCTCAGGGCCTTTCACTGGGCTCCTCTGCCAGCTTGGGCAGTGTGGGGTGTGGGTTGTAACATGCTCTGTTTTGGGTTTTAGGCTGATTGCTGATGAGGTTTTGTGTGTCTTTCAACTTCAGCTTGATATGTACCTGCTGTTAGTTTAAGTGATGGCTGAGTTATATCTGCTGATATTTCATCACACTTCAGAAGATCATCTACAGACAGAGAACTATCGGCACATCTCACCAGGAAATCGATGCCCCAAAATGCTAGTCCAGTCATTAATCAGAAGTGCAAAGCTGTCTTTGATTATCAGCTTTGAAAAGTAGCGCTCTAGACCTGTATTTTGTTTAATTGTTAAGTTTCAAAAAAAGGTTGAAACAAAGTACATTACAAAACAAAGTAGCTGCCACACTGGGAAATCTGCCTGAAGAGATTTTTCTCATTTAATTGCTGCATTGTCCTACAGTAACAACTGCCTGTGCTGTGGTGACATCTGGTGTTCCCAACCCTGCATGACAAGCTGGAGTTTTGAAAATAGAGATTTAGAGCAGTTAAAACTTCTTTTTTATTTATTTGTTTTGTTTTTTTTTTTTGGCTGGGTTCTCTTTACTCACTAATCTCTGCCTGTTTCCACTGAGAGGTTTTTGTTTGGGATTGTCTTTGGTTTTGTGGGGGTTTTCTGGTGAATTTTTGTTGTGTGTGTTTGTTTGCTTGTCTGATTGGTTGGGGTTTTTTGTGGGTATTTGGGTGACCATTCATAAATTTTAAGAGGGCCTGGATGTTTGCAGTATGTGCTCACACAAAATGAGGAAGGAAACAAAACGGTAGGAAATAACTGTCCTTACCCTTTTGACTTCAGCGAAAGAAATGCCATTGTCCTTTTTTAAAGCATTTGGTATGTATGTCTGATTAGCACATTTCAGTCAACCTTCTTTTTGGAATTCAGCCATCTGAGGACACAGGAGTAAATCGTTTCTACAGTACTGATCTGTGGCATTATTTCAAGCTGATGCATCTCTTGGCTCCAGCGAGGCAGGATGCAGGATCAGACCTGGTGTGTTTGATACCTTCCAGCTAATCCTGTTCTGGGGAAATGCCTCCCCTGGGGGTTTGCTCATCCTGGCACTGGAATCAGCATCATTCCCACCTTGAGTGTCTGATCTGCACTAGGGGAACATCTGTTAGAGCCTGACAGTTGGATTAGGATAAATGAGACCTTTGCCCAGCAATCCAGTGTAGTGATGGTCTGTGTGGGAGCACACAGGAAAGAGAAACTGCAGCTTGCTGTAGGGATGAACTTGGTCATCAGTAATTAAAAATGAGCTGGGAGTATGCACGTTGTGGAGTAACTCATGTCCCTTTAGTTTATATTTAAAGCTTTCCATATGATGCTTTTTTCAGATCTTAAGCTCAGTAAGGACTGAGAGGTCTCTGGAAGTGTCTGCTGTGTAACCAGGCCTTAGTAATGGCCAGCAGCAGGGGCCAGAGCTTGTTTTGGCTTGGTTTCAAGGGTCACAGTGGATCTGTGAATGGAAGGATGACTAAAGGTCCTGTTCCAGTGGGAGGTGTGTGCTTTTCCTCTTTAAAACCTGTTTTATGGTTGAATATTTCTGAGTGCTGGCCCTCCTGCAGTGTTTGCTCGTAGTGTTTGTGACAAATGGGCTTTCTCAGAATAGGTTTCCCTAAAGGAAGGTAAATACTTGCCTTACTAATTTATTTTTTTTTAAGTGCATTGTCTTTCTAAGAAATTAGTTTTTTTCTGTCATGTGCTAATTCTGTGGAGTGTGTTATGACTTCAGGAAATAAGTGAGAAGAAAAATCTGACCACCTGTTTGAGATACAAGATGGTCTCTGTGGTAGGTCAGAGGAACTGACTATTAATGAATGTTGTGTAGAGTGTGAGTAGCTTATAAAGGTCATGCTCATGTGAGATAAAAGTGTTTGGCAATCAGATATTTCTTAAAATGCTGATCCCATGGTGTATTGAGTAATTATGTAATAACCTAAGTTTATACCATCTGGGAAATTGTTGTTTCTTCTGACTGTTTAATTTTTCTTGCTTCACTGGAGTTTTGAATTTTTGAATGTAAAGCAAAAGTTCCTTTTCAGGAGCCAACTTTAAAGTTCCATTTAGCTGGAAGTTAAAACTGTTTTGCAAGTGTAGGGGAATGGGGGTTGCTAACAACACACTGTACCTCTTTGTAGTTGTTTTCATGTTTAAAAATGAGAACAGCATTTACCTTCTGTATTACAATGAAATTCTAAGAAATCTAGGATATTTAAAAACAAAAAAGCTACAAGTAAGAACTTTCTCACTTGAACATTTGTGTATGTTTAAACAAATAAAAATTTGTTTCAAAGAAAATAAGGATAAAGCTAAGGTGAGGAGATGGATTATCAGATTGAGAATAGTTTTCCTCCAGGTGGAATAGATTCATTTCAGTAGCTTTAGCTCCTCAGAATTCAGGAAATCCTGGTATAAATCAGAAGGGGGGAAAGTGATTAACCTTCACCAACTCAAAATTAGATTGCATCTTTACTATAACTTCACTTTTAAAGCAGATTTATTTAAAAATGTGTTTTTTGTCAACAGGATGTAAAGTAGAATCTATATTTCTGAATGTGGAAGCTGTAAACACACACAGAGATAAACCTGAGGTAAGAATATCTCTCAAACTGGAGAACATGATGTAATGTACTGTCTGAGCTGATTTTTGTTGTCCTTGTGGTTAGAAATGATTTGATAACTCAACTGAGAGCGTATTTAATTTTATATATCAAGCTTTACTACTGGTTTACTGTTGGCAGGGGGTAAATCCTTTTTATTGAGCAGATTTATCTTTATTATATGAGTTCGATCTGGAATAGTTTATCTTCAAAAAATGAATGTGAAGGTGAAGATGTGGTATCCACCTGAAAGCTGCATAAAGTTCTGCCAGGCTTTGTCATTGAGCAGAAGTAGGGTGTAGTCAAAAAGTTATGTTGTGAATGCCACACTTGTTTTGGAGAGAGAGAGAGAGAGAGAGAGAGAGAGAGAGAGAGAGAGATCATCAGCTCTTTCCTCCCTGCGATCCTTGCTGTATGAAAAAGAGGAATTGATGGTGTCACCTGTGTTTTAAACCAAAGCTGGAGAGGAAGACTAGATCTCAGGATACAGCAGGACAACCAGGGCAAGGGAATTGAGCGTATTTGTGAAATTTAAGTGGAGATCAGATGTCAGACTGTGGCAGCTTCGTGCTCTCCCTGTGTCAGGCACGTGTTTCTCTGCTCCTCGGTGTTGACCTGAGCTTAGGTTGGTTCTGCTGCTTGTGCAAAGCTCTTCCATTGCTGTGTTCTGAAAGTTATGTGAAACGTGCCACCATTAAAAACCTCTGGTTCCCTTGCAGATCCTCATGCTAATGCCCCCAGGTGTGGCACTGATTCTGTGCTGAGGTTACAGGCGGTGCCTACTGGTGAACTGAAAGTCAGTTTGAGAACATGAGAAAAGAGGACCATGTTTGGTGGTTTTCAGGACAGTGGTTTATGGTGGAAAGGAATATAGTGAGAATGAGGTTTTATGTGTGTATTCAATAAGGCATGTGACACAAAGTGCCTTTCTTACCTGAGGGTGCAGTTTTGTTCAGAATTCATGCTGGAGGGCTCTGTGAAGAAGTTTTGTTGTAATGGCATGGGAATTTTGAGTTGTGAAAATACTGACTTTGGGTCATCCGTAGCCAAGACATTTTCTGTTAGACAATGGCTCTGCATATTTCTCTCTACTCCCCTTTCTGCTTTACCACTTTTGTATCTTAGTTTGGTTTGTCAGGTTTAGGAAATCTGTTTTCACAGTGCCTGAAGTTGGAGAAGCATAGTGAAAATAAATCAGGATGTCTTGGAGCAGTAGGTTATCCATGTTAAATAATGTAGAGGAACAGAATCTTTAGTTTGGCTGATTAAAATATTGGTGCAGAATTTACAGCTTGCTAAATGTTGTTGAAAATACCATTCCTCTAACTGAGGAGGTTTATTTCAAGGGGCAAAGCTCTGCCTGAATCACCAAGTGACTCTCAACATGTCTAGGAAGTGATGTGGCCATGCTGGTGTGGGGTGCCTCTATTCCAGGTGCATGTAGAGGATCATGCAAACAGGTACATTACAGTGGACACAAAGACACAAGACTAATTGGAACAGAAGTAAATTGAGTTAATGAATTTTAAAAGAATTTAAAAAAGGAGCAGAGGCATTTTTATAAAAACCCCTCAAATTCTCTTCTCCCTCTGACCTGAAGGAAACCCAGCCTGTTGACTATGGGTGGTGACACACTGTTCATTTAGGAGGTCTGACTGAAGGATTAAGGTCCTGTCTGCATTTAAATTGATGCTCAGGGAACTATGAACATTTCAAAAGCTTTTATTTTCATCACCTACAAAAATGTTAATTACTTCTGTAAAATTAAGTTTTCAAGTGGTCTATTGAAGTCAGAGCATTTAATTAAATGCAGCATCACATAACAACATTGTTAAACAATGAAACTATTGGATTGAGAATTGCCCAGTGGGCTGTTCTGTGCCCCCACCAGTCACTTGTAGTCCAGAACAGTGCCCTCCTTTTGGGCTCAGCTGAAAGCTTCTATTTTCACGTGGCAAAAATGCAGGCAAGGCCCTGGAGTCTTTGTTTCTGGTATGTGTGAACTTCATTGTACCATGGTGGTTTTGTCTGGAGCGAATTGAAGCCTTGTGTTTGTCAGCAGTATAGTGGCTGAAGTTCTGACCTTTTCCAGTGAAGGAGTCTATGGTCTTTTACTGAAAATAATTCAGGGGAGTTGCTTTGGGTCCCCCCTTTGGGCCAGAAAACAAGCACTGGGGTGAAGTGTCTGCTTTGCATCTCTGGCTTAGTTGGTGAATGACAGGGAGATTGCTCGTAGCACGAAACCCAGGTCTCCTTTTGGAGTTTGGGGAGGGGAGAGGGAAAGGTGTGAAACAAGTAAGACTCAGGCAACCTGTCAGCATGAAGTTTGAAGAAGTTGCAATGATTTGGCCTAGAATGGGTCCTGGAGGTAACTTCAGAACAGTTTATCATAGTGTGCTCTCTTGGTAGAAGGGAGAATACTGATTGGCAGGGTCTTTGGGACTTGCACGAGGTGTACGAGGCAGGTGTGGTTTCTGAGCTGGTTCCATGTGGCTGCACTCAGCTGGACTTCCCAGCAGGAGCATTTGGCTGTGCTGGGCTCTTAGTTTTGTTTGGTTTTGAATAATGTCGTGTTTTTTGAACGTCATGTTTTTTCTGCAGCCTTTGCAAAATGAGATGACACCTAGTTAGTGTAACCAGCCTTGAAAGATTAGCATGTCTGAGAACATATTTCTTAATTTTGTCAGGGTTGTTATATGCCTATAACACAAACAAATGTTGCAAGTCTTCTCTTGGGACAGAAGTGTGTGGCATAGTTCAGTAAAACACTGCAAGTTGCTTAATGGATAGATGTGTATGTGCTGAAGCACATGATTAAGTAGATTCCTGCTTGGGCCTGTAAAAGACTTCTTCCTAAATGTGAATGTATTGAGCTTTTGGTAGTGCTGTCAGTGTGGGGTCAGTGAATTCTGTAAATACATTTTCCTGCTGTCTCGCTCTGGGACAGTGATGGGCTGCTGCACTCTCGGGGTGTGGGGGGTTAAAAAAAAAATCTCTGCTTCTGAATGAGTGCAGCTGTGTACTTGTGAAGGAATCTGATTGGTGTTTTTGTTGCTCTTACTGCTGCATGATAAATATTCTCTGTATTTTTATTATTATACAGAATTTAGACATTTCCAGACCTCCCGAGGACGCTCTTGTAACAGTCCCTGCTCATCAGTGAGTCCTGTGTGCTGATCAACTGTCGAACTTGGGGTGCTGTTTTCATCCTACTGCTTCAAAATAAATTGAAAAACTAATAATTTCAATCACTTTGAAATAAAAAAGCCCCACCCCAACCCAACTCATAATCCAAACCAAATGTTTGTACAGCATATGATTTGAAAAGATTATCAAATCACAATAAAACTATTGCACTGGCTGATTTATTGTGGATGAGTTATCAAACATTGATCGGCTCATGCTGGAGTGCTGCTTTTGTAAATTGCTGTAATTTAAATATCCTGCAGCATTAAGTTTTATTGTAGCAGCCAGCATTCATTTAGTGTTAGTTGCAGTGAAAGCCCTGAAGCACATCATCCTGTGAGAGATAAGAAAGTCTGAAGTTGCTTTTCTAGACACTAGTATTATCTGTTTCAGTGCCCTTAGGAGTGATTGGACTGCTCTGTGGTGTAAAATAACAACTCAGAGTTGCTGTAAACTCCTAATCCTGCTGGTCCATAGCACTAGTGGTCTACATGGGCTGATTAATGATGTACTGTTGGAAAAGGGTAGCAAGTCTTCACTTAGTTCCAGAACAATTATTCAAAGAACAGGAATGTGTATAAATGTTTTTAATATATGACTTTTGTTAACAGATGTTCTGCATTAACTAGGCTTTAGTGTTTGCCCGTCAGCAGAAGTGATTTTAAATTCCCTCTTTTCCTGCTTCTTGTACAGACATGGCTGATCAAGCATTTACAGTTCTGCTCCAGTTGTTTTGTACCCAGATTTTATCTGGGCTCCAATAAGTAGCATTTAAGCAGACTGTTTCAGACCAGGGAAGCAGACCTAGTCAGAGGATTTTGAAGCTGGGTTGTGACTCCAGCAGACAGGGTATCTCAACCAGCAGGAGATGAATCCAAAACTGAGTGACAGCAAAACCTCTCACAGGCTGCAGGTTGTTGGGGATGTGGTGCCTTGGTGCCTTTCTGGGCACAATGGGCAACCTGAGGCCATGGAATCACCTGTGCCATTGAGTAGACACCACTGAGGCTGGGAAAGGCAGAAAAGTCACCACATCCTGGAACTGTTTTCTAAGGGCATCTTTTAGTCTTGAATGTAAGCAAGAGTGTAGGTTGTGGAAAGCTTTTATATGTTGGGTTTCTCAGGTGGTACATTTTTGCAAAACCTGGATTTTGGAAAAAATGTGTGGCATATCTGCACTTCTAAAATTGTAGTGAAGTTTTCAGAAGTTTAGAGCAATTGGGAATGTCTGCCATAACCAAATAACCTCCTGGCCAAAAAGGCTCCTGCTGCACTGGTTGGTGTTTAGTTAAGCCAGTGTCCCAGCATGGGCTGGGACTGGGGGAACCTGGATCATTTTGCTTTTGCTCTTTGTGACTGTGACATAGGAGTGTTTGGTCACTTTTCCTTGTTTAATTGTTCCAACCTCTGGGCATGAGCTTTGCTGTGAAAGATGCTCTGGGGGAAGAGACCTCAGCTGCCATACCCTCTTGCACACACCAATTAGTGAGTCTGGTTGCTCTTACCTGACAGTTGAGGTAGCATTCCCAAGGGGTAGCAGGGATCCGGCCAGAGTCGGGTACTTATTAGCTGCATGGAGACAGCTTGGAGTGCTGTCACCTCTGCAGGCCACAAGTAAGGAAATACCATTCCATTTAAACTAAATGTGTTGCATTTTTGATGGAGCCAAAATGTGTGCAGGCGTCTGCTGTGGAAAAACTGAGTTTTGCTGCTTGAGAAAGGAAGGCTCGGGCTGTCAGAGAAAATGGACGGGGAGGATGGACAGGGCAGGAACTTGGCTGGAGAGGAAAGCTGAGCTTGACTACTCTGGCAGAGGTTGTAGAGGGAGGTGAAGCAGCAGAAGCACCCGGGACCCCCCACCCCTGCCAGCTGCTGCCAGCCTGATTTCCTGGGGCTGTGGCTGCGTGTTGTTCTCTGCTGAGCACAGCACTCGTTGTGCTGATGTGTGCAACGGAGTGAAGCGGATATTTAAAAGCAGAATGCTCTGAGGGGTCTCCTCTTACAGCATGATTGCTCAACAGTCCTCTCTGCCTTACTTCCTCAGTAACAGAAAGGCCTGATGCTGGACGGGAAGTGGCAGCAAGTTTGTGGCACGGCTTTGCCGAGGGAAGGCTGGCTGATAGGGGGCTGGAATGTTTGTATCCTGCTGTTTATTTCTCTGTTTATGCCTGTACTGGTTCTTATCCTTAGAGGCTTCTTCCTTTTCCCTAGAGGAGCCTTTCTGTAAAATCTTCCTGTTCTGTTGTGAAGATCACAGAACACGTGTAGCTAAATCAAAGTAAAATTGAGATGGCAGGGGCTGTCCTGTTCAGAGGCTCACAGCACTTTGCTGGGGGAGGCTCTGTTCTGTAGGAAGAAGGTGTACGAAGGGAAAAGTATAATGAGGAGAAGACCAGTGGTGGTATAGGAGCGTATTTGAGTTAATCTGTGTGTTTTGAGTCTTTCCAGGGAGGACTGGGTGAGATGGACCCTTGCGTAAGGCAGAGTGACACTGCTCCTGCCTCAGACAGTGGGCTCTGGAAGCAGTGAACCCCTGCCTGGGCTGACTGAGTGAGAGTCCATATGCCTTGGTAGAAATAGTATTTAGAAGAGGTGAGTGTGGTTTTTATTCCCACTGCTGTGTTTCCCAGGCTCTTCAGACCGTGTTGCTGCTGGTGTGTGGCAGTATTATTCCCAGGATGGTGGTTTGTCCAGGTGTGCTTTGGGAAGGCAGTGCTGAGCAGTTGCCAGGACACATTTTGGTCCCAAAAGGAAGGCATTAACCTCAGTCACCTTTCTAAGCAGCAGCACTGTCCTCATTGCATAGCTTTTACCTCTCACTGCCCTTGGCTGTTCTGGAAGCAGATACAATCCCAGCTGCCATCATCTCATCTAATGGGATTCCTACAAGTAGGAATCCATTTATTGTTAATGAGGATACTGGTCCCTTTCTAAGCCCCTGTTCATCTGGTCTCGCTCTCATCTCTTGTGTTTGTCTAAGAAGCCCTTGGGGGTGTTTATTAGGGTTTATCCCAGTTTTCTTCCTTCACTGTGACAGTCCAGTGCTTTGCTTCCACAGCCTGTTTGTATTTATTCAAATCCAACCACTTTTTGCTTTCAACTTTCTCGCCTGTGTATTGATATTCCCTCTGGGTCTGTCTCACTGGCTAAGATGCTGCTTCCATCTGATACAGCTTATTTCAGTCAATGAGAGGTATCTTCTGCTGTGCCTTAATCACCTTGTTTCCTTTTAGTTTCATGTTAGAGCTGTCTAGTCCTTGCTGCTTGGGGATTAATTTTCAGTACCTCTGGATTCCTGCATACTGATGCTCCATTTCATGCTCCATTTAATTTTCTTTGAATCAACATCAGATGATCAGCTTAAAAGATTTCAGCCAATATTCTTGGAGTGCCTGTGGGAGACATCTCCACAGTCCCAAGGAATTTCTGTGTGTTTTGCATAAGTTGCTAAGAAAAACACAAACAAACACACCAAATGCCAGCATATTCTGTTGGCTGGTTGTTTTCTCCCCTCCTGTGTAGTCATGCAGAATATGACTTGTTCTGCCAGCTCCTTGTGTTCTTAGACAGATGTTGATGCTTTCTGTGTGTCCCTGGTGTAGAAGAGAGGCTTCCTCTAGAAGCTTCTTTCTGAAATAGGGTTGTTGCTTTGCTTTCCTTCAAAGAGAGAAGTCAGAGTGGGTTGGGCCATGTGCTGGTGGGTGCAGGGGTTTCCAGGACACTGCCCAGCAGCATTTGTGTGTGTGT